AAATTATATTTGTCTATGTAACTGACCATATTTGCTTATTTAACTCTATTAATCAACAGTAAAAATGTGTTACTTAAACATCAGAATATAGATGAAGGGGATGGGAGGGGGGGTATGCAGGCTTTTTTTCTTTCTTTTTAAAGCTCTAGCAATGCTCCCCATCCCCTACAAACACCCCCAAAAGTCCTCCTCTGCTGCCACCTCACAGGGGTGGGCGGACCCTGGGCTCTTGTAGCCTGAGCCAATGGAGCATATGGCCTAGCTGGTCCTACTAAGCACCAAAGGTGGTCTGGGTGCAGACCTAGGATTTAACTGCTTGGTCTATGACCCAAGCGCCAGTCACGGAAACTCGGGTCTCGTCAGCAGATGGGCTGGGTAGGGGGAGGATTTTTCAGCCATAGTAACTCTTGAAGGTCACCTCCAAGGAAACAGAAGAGCAGCAAGCTGCCATCAGGAATGGGGGACTCACACCAGAAAAATGGCAGATCCTTGTGATACTGAAGCACCCATTAGAAGGAGCCTAGAGATTGTCATCTATAGCAGCTGAGGGTGCACCCGATACTGACACCCCTGAAATACTGAAGTATGTCAACATCATTATTTAGGACACAAATGGGCAAAGAATCCCATGTGATATTTTACAAACATTTCCAGGATTCTTGGGGGAGAAACTAAGCAAAAGACAGAGTGGCTAAAATGAGGTAAGAAACGGGTCCCACATCTCCAAAAGTCTCATGATGGCAAATGTTATCCACATCCAGAGAAAAGCCAATGGAGTTTGAATGCAGATAGAAGTATACTATTTGATCTTTTTTTCTTCTGTTTTGTTTCTTCTTTCTTGTAGTTCCTCCTATTGGTTCTAATTCTTCTTTACAACATGACTAATGTGAAAGTGTTTAATAGGAATGTATATGTAGAGCCTATATCAAATTGCGTGCCATCTTGGGGAGGGAGGTAGGGAGAGATGGGGAGAAAATTTTAAACTCAAAAGCTTATGGAAGTGAATGTTGAAAACTAAAAACAAATAAATAGAAAAAAAAAAGAATTGGGTCCCAAAGAAGGGATGAAAAGATACTTCTTCCCACTTATTGGCAGAGGCAAGGGGCCACAGGTGTGGAATACTGCATACATCAGACTTTTAATATGTGTTGTTTAGTTTTGCTGATTTATTTCTTCTTTTTTCTTCTTTATCGTAAGGACTATTACATAAGGGCTGGGCAAGTAAAGACATACAATGGGAAATGTAGGTGATGCAAAAACAGAAGGTATCAATAAAAATTTATCTAAAAAATTTAGGTAAGAAATAAAAACTTTTCCATATTGTTAAAATGTCTTTGTAGAATTGAAACCCCACAAACTACAAACCTATGGAAAAATTAATACATGTCAGAGGTACAAACAACAAACAGAATTTTGGAGCTGAACACATGAAAATTTGGTTTTTCTAATAATATTTAGGTGATGTTGGAATAACAGGGAAGTCAGTTTTCAAAAAGCCTTTTTATTCTTAAGTCAGGACTATTTCAATACAGTGGAACTAAGATAAAGGGAAGGAGGCGTCGTAGGGAATTCTTAGAATAACTGAAAGGAAATTTCTACAGGTGTTACCTAATGATTGATTATCTTGGTGTCTAACCAATGACAGACGGGAGTATCCCCTTAAGTTTCCCACAGAAAAAGTCATAGGAAAATTTGGGAGGGGGAAAAGAAACTAAAAATGGCATCCAGGAGGAACTGCTGTGTATGGAGCACTGAGCAGCATTTTTGCTTGGGAACAAGAGGAATCTGGTCATCACCTAGAGAGGCTCTTAGATCGAAGCTTCAGAAAGAAGACACAACTGATGCTGTATGGCTCCTTAGTTTCACTGAAAAGCAAAGTAAATGGTACATAAAGCAGCTGTTTAGAAATATTGTGCCAACAGTGGCACAAAGCTGGCCCTCCGTGGGTCAAGTGACCTGAGATGTGCACGAAGCAGCCTGTGCCTGGTTCCTCTTCTCATCTGGTTCAGGTTTGCTAAGTGTGCACACGTATGTCAGGTGCTGGCCTTTTCACGTGCCAACAGTTTGTGGCTGAGTAGGTTAGTGGAGGAAAACATGGGGAAAAAAAGTGGATAGAGCTCTGGCCTTGGAGTCAGGAGGACCTGAGTTCAAATCCCGTCTCAGATGCACAACACTCAATACTTACTAGCTGTGTGACCCTGGGCAAGTCACTTAAGCCCGATTGCCTAGCAACGAAAAACAAAAAACAAACAAAAAAAGACATGGGAAAAACAAGTCTCTCCAATAAAAGGCTTGAGAGACCCAGCCCATCCTGAGCAGAGTTAGCTAGCTAACTTGCCTCTCCTCGGGCTGAGAGCTGTCTTCGCCAACCTGATGAAGACAGAACAGTGACTGAAAGAGGGTGGCTGCAGAGCACCCTCACTGGATGGGACTGCTGTCTAAATCTAACACCTCTTTGGGGACTAGAAGAAGACTGTATGAGGACTACTGGGTTCCCACGGTACAGAAAGTGGAGGCCTGGAATTGTACTCCCTAAGGTAAAGCTGGCGTCAGCGACCACCACAAGGCTGTGGTGCGAGGCAGAGAAGACGCTGGACAAGAGAAAAAGAGGCAGGAGAGGGAGGCGAGACCAGTCACAAGCAGCCAGGGACAGAAGCGATCGCACGTTTCCAGCTGGGACAGCCAACTCCGCAGCTGCCTGTCGGGGATATGCTCACTGGAAGAGGGGCTTGGCTTTGCGGAGGGGCCGGAAAGCGCTGTCCAAGAGCCAGAGCGTGCTGCCCCGCGCAGCGCTGTCGGGCTTGTTGCTCTCTACTGCCACCTACTGCTGAGAGAGGGGAAGGGGGCCGCGGCTGGTGAGGTCCTCCACCTGCCCTCTCTAGCCTGAGGCAGGGACGGAAGGAAAGGGAGCTGGGGTTTAAGGTGAGAAGGCCGCCATTTGCAGGCCTGTAGAGTTTGGCAGTTGTCTGCCTTAAGGAAACTGCCTGTCACTGAAAGAGCACGACACTTGTCCCCCCTCAGCATCCTCTTAAGGTTGATCAGAGGAAAACAGGGTTGTCACAGGGTGGGCAGAGATGCTGCAGCTGTTTGTCATTTCCTTCTCCCACTCATCTTACAGATGAGGGAACTAAGGTGAGGGGAGTCGAGGGACTTGCCCAGGGTCACACAGCTAGTAGGGGTCTGGTCCAGCGCTCTCTCCACTGTGGTACCACCTAGTATTGAATGATAAATGTCCTTAAGATTCAATTGCATCTATTACCTATAATGTTTCTCAAACCTTTGAAGGGAAAGGAGCTCTTCGGTGACTCAGGGTCACCAACAAGTTCACTTGAAAAGCCACCAGAGAGGGGAATAGTAACCTGGGTGGGGGCCATGTTTAAATCAGATAGCCTTAATGTTGCAATGAGAAGAAATAGAAGGTTTGTGTCGCAGAGCATTAGGGAGCTTTCAGGATGGCTTAGAACGCTCATGCCCTGTGACCATGGAATTCAACAGCCTGACTTTTCTGCCGAAAGCAAGCAGATAGTGTAACACCTTGGCCGTGTGGTCAGAAGGAAACAAGAGGGAGCAACTCTGGAGCACTGCACAGAATGCAAACGCTTCCTCTCCTTGAGAAGCAGTTTGCCTTTGAATGTTGAATCCTTGTGGCAGCTTGGAAAAGCTTGGTGACCTCGAAAAATTGCAAGAACACTGTGCTTTGGCAGAAAGTTGCGGCACATCCAAATCACGCTGTGCCAGTGACAGCGTCAAATCGCTGCAGAAATTAACCTTCAAGCGGAGTGCACATGGTGGAGGGAAAACCTACTAGTAACCTAAGGATTCTCGAGGCAAACTACTAGGACCATCACCGCGAATAAGGACGAACCCCCGCGTCTAAGAAGCACTGAACAGGAACCCCCGCTGTAACCTCCCTTTGCCAAGAGAGCTTGAACTTTGATCGTGCTTTAAGGAGGTGGGTGGGGCTGCCATGGGGCTGCCATGGGGCACCGCAGTGCACAGGGCCCCGGGCCGGAGTCGGGAAGCCTTGAGTTCAAATTCGACCCCAGAGGGGCAGCCACGTGGCGCAGTGGATAGAGCACTGGCCCTGGAGTCAGGAGGACCCGAGTTCAAATCCAGCCTGAGACCAAACACTTGACACTTACTAGCTGCATGACCCCAGGCAAGTCACTTCACCGTTTGCCTCAGTTTCCGCAAATGGCACTCTGGCATCTTTAATGAGGAAACCCCACATGGGGTCACGGGGAGTCAGCCTGAGAACATCATTTAATACAGAACTTGTCCCTGACCCACAGAGAAGTGTCATATTCGTTTCTGTCAATCACTTAGGCAGGTAAAACTAAAAGTGCATTTACGTCGTGGCCACAGGGGGAGGGGGAAGGGCTGGAGACGTTTAACCGAAGGCGGACCTCGGGGTCTCCTTTTACACTTCAGGAAACTGAGGCACAGAGCCTGGCGGCCCGGCCATGGTCCCAGGGCTGGGGGCGGGGGAAAGCAGCGGGCCTTGGCCTGCCTTGGTTTCCCAGTCTGTCAAAGCGGGATGCTAAGGGCCCCCCCTCGTGCCCGTTCCGGGGCCGCCCGGACGCAAAGCGCTTTGCAAACCCCGAAGCGCTTCAAACGGTCGTCCTGCCCGGAGGCCGCCGCGAGCCCGGCCCCTCACTTGACAGATGGGGAAACGGAGGCTCCGGAGAGGGGAGCGACTGCCCCAGGGCTCCCATCCAAGATTAAATGTGAAGAAACTGAGGCAAGCCTCCCGCTCCTCGCAAAGCGGCGGGGGAGTGGAACCGACCCTGCGCGCACGCGCAGATCTCCAAGGAGGAGGAGCCATCACTGCCAGGGATCAGGAAACGATAGAAGGATCTGCGCAAGCGCCTTAAGACAGTCACGTGGTGTCCCTCCGGCGCTCCTAGGAGCTGGGGGGAATAGGGAGGGTGGGGCGAGGATTGTGGGTGGAGCCTCCTCCCCAGGCCCCGCCCCTGCCCGGCCCACGCTTGCGCAGTTGCCTCCAGGGCTTAGGCGGCCCCAGGCAGAGGCGTCCCCGGCGGTTCCCTGCTTTTCCTGGGTAAGATGGGGACGTGGGAGGAAGGGGCTGCGTGGGGCCAGCCAGGCCCGGGCTACCTCAGTTTCCCCACCCGTGACAGGAGCGGGTCTGGAGAGAGGGCGGGAGAAGCTGGGGCTGCCTCAGTTTCCTCATTTGTCAAATGCGTGGGAGGAGGAAGGGGCGCACCGGCCTTCCTCTGAGACACCGCCCCCCTCGTCCCTCCCCCGGCTTCCTCTGTTTCCCTGTTTATTACAGGTTGGGGGGGCCAGTACACAGTAGGTGCTACATAAATGTCCATTGCTAGATACAGCACGATTAACATTTATGAAGCGCCCACTGCATACCACCACTGCACGCTGTGCTGAGCTCTGGGGAGAACAAGCCCCAGGAGGACAGTGCCTGCCCTCACGCAGCTTACAGTCTAGTTAGGGAAGGCAGCTCAGAGGAGGAAGCTGAAGGGAAAGGGGGAGGGGGCAGAGGCGAGGGAGGGCCCTGCTGCTGGCTGGCTACCCAAAGGGTGCCGTCTCCATGACGATGGGTTTCCTGCTGGGGGTGAATGAGGTGGGTGGGAGTCAGAGAGGTCGCAGAGACCCTCACTCCTCCCTGCCTCGGTTTCCCAATCTGTCCAGTGAAGAGGTCAGACTGGATGCCCCTGGTCTGAGGAGTCTGTGACCCAGGGTTGGAAACTCTACAGTAGTAGCTTCCCTGCCCTTGAACTCTGACCCCAAGCACTCATGGACTCAGACCTGCAGAGGACGACCTCTGAGAGGGTCTGTACCAGCCCCCTGCTTTGCAGATGGGGTGACTGACACCCAGGGAGGGGGAGAGGCATGCCTGAAGTGGCAGAGGTAATGAGGGAGTCAGGATTCATACCCAGGACCCAGGACTCCAAACAGACCAGCACGCCTTCCACCACACCGTCCTGCCTCCCGGATCTAGGTGGTCTGGTGGAGTCTGCCAGCCCCACATCTCTCCCCTGAGTCCTCTCCACTGACACAGCCCCTGGTCTGATGCAGACCCTCGTCACCTCCTACCAGACCTTAACAAACATTTGTGTGTTGGACCAAAAATGTTGGCGGAGGATCATTTTTTGGCAAGGCCCTTCTTGAAATGGAACTTCCCTAGACCATCCCTGTTGAATGACTGGTCATCCACAGCGTTGGGGGCCACCCGGACCACTGTGGGAGAAGGGGACAAAGGCCCTGGGTCCCCAGGTACCCAGAGGCACCTTCAGCACGGCTCCTGGGATTAACCCCTCGCTGTCCTTGCCTTAGGGTCCCTTCCCCCCACCCCTCATTGCATAGGGAATTACTGAACTCCCCCCCCCCCAGAAGAGCCTAGCGCTCATGGCTCAGCTCAGTCCTGCAGCGTCTCCTCCTCACCACTTACGGGAACCAAAAGCCTTCGCTGCTGAAGGATCCCAGAGGCCTGGCAAGGTTCTCCCTGTCTGACGCAACGGGCAGATGTCTTTGGTCTCCAAGGTCAGCGAGGACGAGATGATGCCGCCTTTTCTAGCTCAAAAATAGACATTTTCCTCCAACACGCACACTATTCATTTGTGTAACTGACTGCGTGCTGTGAATAGCCGTCTTCTCTTCTCTGTTTCACGCAGTGTTAATAGCGTTTAGCTTGTGAATGCTGCCTCAAGAATCTGCGTGTAAGAAGACTCCTCGATGAGGCCAGTGGTAAGGTGCCATCCAGCTTCCAGTCTGCCCCAGAAGAAACGGCTACTTGCTTCACTCTTAATTGACTTCTCACCACTAACTTGTGACTGATGAGTGACAACCCTCCTGGGTCTCAGAAAAATCCCACCACACGGTGCTGGAGCTGTCCTCTTTATAGGATCCAGGCTTAATCAGTTCTCTATCTGTGGCCACTTGTATAAGACTCCTCCCCAGAGACTTGGACAAGTGGCAAAGGAAAAGGCTGCCTCATTGCTAATTGCCCACGATGCAACCTGCAAAGGGGTTTTTTTAAGTGCTGATTTAATGAAGCTTAATTGTCTCTATCAGCCTGTTTGAGCCATGGATGTGAGGCCCTGTTCCCCTCCCTACTAGCTGCTCCAAGAGGGTTCTAGAGGCATTATGTCTCTGTAGCACTCAAGGGAGGGCCATCTACACAGAAAGCATTTATGTGGCTCCAAGTAGATGGGACAGGGAAAGACTGTGGGGGAGGGAGGCGGGGGGTGCAAATGGAGACCATACTGGTTCAAGACCCAGCGACCCTGGGCCAGTCCCCAGAATCAGGGTCTGCACCTGAAAAGTGGGGGCGATTGGCTTCATATAAGAGCTCCTAAGGTGGTCTTCCAGCACCAGAGTTGAAAGGGGCACTCAGGGATCACCAAGAAGGAGACCCAGCAGGTGGGCCCTCCAGCCCCTGCACAGAGACGTCCAGGAATGGGTGGCCCTGGGTCCCCCAGGCAGCCCCTTCTGCTCCGGGGCCACCCTGCCAGCTCTCGTGAGCACCATGCCAGGGCTGGGGATTCGCTGACAGTCTTCCTAGTGAGACGCACAACAGCTTTGCCAGGAGTCCACGTTGGATTTGCTGGACTCTGGTCCATGGGTTCTTAATTCGGGGTCCATGAGTTTGGCCTTGTTTTGTTTTATGGTTCACCACGTTTCAGTACAGTAGTTTGCTGTTTTTTGTGTTTTGGTAACCCGGTGTATCCTCTGGTTCTGGGAAGGATCCGCAGGCTTCACCAGGCTGCCTGCCCAAGGGGTCCAGGACACACAAAAGAGGAAGACCCTTGCCCTGGTCCCTTCCCTTCTTTGGAAAACAGAGCCTTTGTCCTTCTGTCTCCAAAGTGTGTCCGAGCGTGGCCCAGCGGTCACCTGTCCTGGTTCTTTCAGCTCCAGTAGACGTGGTTCATCTGGGCCAAGGGACTTGCGTGCACCAGGGCAGCCGGACTCTTTCTTCTTGGGTATCCCCTCCCCACCAGCCGTGTTTGCTCTGTTATCTCCAGTGATAGAGGAAGCAGAAGCAGAATTGGAATTGCCTGGGTCCTCCGTGCTGCTGGCCACACAGTCACCCACTCCCCTGATGCCCTGCAGCAGGCCCTGATTCAGCTCTGAAGGGGCCCTGGGTACCTAGCAGCCGTACCAGAAGGCTGCACCATCAGTGACTGGCTAGCAGCGTATAAGACACAATGCATGTTGTAAACGTCCTCTAGCTCTCCTGGAAGAGAAGCAAGTGCAGATCTGCTCTTTTCTGGATTCCTTTGGTGCGGGGCTTAGGACAGACTTCAGAAGGGTGATAGGTCTAGTTAACCATCAGTGCTTTCTCTCTCTGTTAACATTAGAAACCAAAAGAAGATGAAACATGAGGAGGAGGACCCCCATGGGACAGAGCTGGAGAGAGTGCCGGCCCCTCCCTGCGGCGCTGCCCCCAGGGAGGCACAGGTAACGGGGAGCTTGAGTGTTTGGGGGCCAACCCCTGAGCCCTGAGGTAGCCCGCAGCAAGCACGTTGGAGACCCTCTGCGGGGGTGGCCCTTGGCCCCAAGAGACACGGTGCACGTGGGGCTGCCAGCTCTGTGGGGGCCCACCGCGCTGAAAAGGTCATGTCAAGGAGGCCTGTCCCTGGGAAGCGGGCAGTGGCCGCAGAGAGGCTGGGGAAAGCCACGCTGACACCCTCCTGTCCTTGGAAGTCTGTAGAAACACAGGGGCAGCTAGGTGGCACCGCAGATGGAGCACCGGCCCTGGAGTCAGGAGGCCCTGAGTTCCAGTTCCGCCTCAGACACATAACACTCACTAGCTGTGTGACTCTGGGCAAGTCACTTAACCCCAAATGCCAAAAAAAAAAAAAACCACAAGGACAGAAACAGAGCCAGACCCAAACAGCGCCACCTTGTGTTTGCACACCCACTTGTTGGGCGTGTGCACGTGCCCTCATTTCAGCCAGAGGTTGCGGGAAAGTCTGTCCCCCGAACCCCCAAAAAGCTCAGTTGGGGAGGGGGGCATTTTGTTTGTTTTGCTTTACCCAAAAATACTTTCAGATTGTTTCCTCTGGTAGAAAGCTCCTTGGCTCCTTGGATAAGGGATTCCATTTGCAAAAGCTGAATGCAGACACAAGGCCCACGTCTGATTCAGAGCTGTAACAATAACAATAATAATAATTGCTGACGTTTCCGTCATGCTTGGAGGTTTGCAGAGTCTGACGTACAAGGACTCAGGGAGGTGCCGTTATTATCCCCATTTTACAGATGAGCAAACTGAGAGTAGTTAAGGGCCTTCCTAAGGCCCCATGGCCATTGTCAGGAGGAGGGATTGGAGCTTCCTGACTCCCATTCTGGCCACATCCCTCTGCTGGCATTTGGATGGCATCACAGCCTCCATCCCTGGGGCAAGTCATCTGGGACCAGAATAATAATACAGTTGGATGGATGCCAGCCAAGACACAAGTCCCTGAGAGCGCATCTTGAGAGGCCTTTCCTCTGATTTTGTGGCTAGCCGGGCGGCAGCCTGGGGCCAAATTGGTAGTCAGAAGACTGAGGCAGTGGGCAAGGCCAGGCCAGGCTGCCCCCCAGAGGACTTTGCACAGGGCTGGGCAGGAAGGAGGCGCGAGAGAGGCAAGGCCACAGAGGGGCAGTGACACAGGGAACCCACCCTCCTGAGAGCCGGGACACATCTGTGCCCACCCCCGCCGGTGACCGCGTCACGTCGGGAGGACGCTGATGGGGCTGGCCAGGGATGGTGGAAGTAGGAGCCGCCTGGGTCGGAGTATTGATTAAAGCCACTAGAAATCCCAGAAGACGGGCCCGCTGGCAGCCTGTGGGCGCAGATAGGATCAGACCTTGTGTTGAGCTCACAGGGTGACAGCAAGCGGGCTGTCTGCGTCCATCGCATCCTGCAGAAGTCACCCTGGAACTGACACCCCGATCACCAGTGGAGGTGAAGCGGAGGCCTGGGGCTGCCTTGAGGCAAATGGAAGCCTGTCAGCGGCAATCCTAGCGCCCTTGGCCAGCCAGCTGTCGCCTCAGTGCTGTGCAGGAACCCCTCGGCCAGAAGGCTTTGCAGGGGACGCAATGGATCTGCCCCACAAGACCCATAAAGAGGCCTCCAGAGATGGTGGCGCCTGTCTGCCAGGCCTTGCTCACGAGCTGTGATGGAGGAGGGGAAGGGACAAGCATTTATTAAGCACCACTGGGATACTCGTAGCGAGATGGGGCAGCAGTGCCCATTAGGTGACTGTGGCCTCTACTGGAATGCACAGGGGGATGAAATCCTGGCCCAGACATTCCATCCCAGCCTCCATCTCATTGCCTTGGTTTTGTGCAGAAAGTGGGAGAAACCAAAGAACGGGATGATGAAGACCCGGTAAAAGAGAGTGTGGAGCCCGAGGAGCTCGTGGCCATCGCAGACTACACGGCAACGGATGAGACGCAGGTGATGATGCTTCCCTGGGCATGGACCGTGATGTCCAGGACAGGACAGGACTTATGTCTAAGCAGCTGAAAGCTGTGGCATCTGGAAGAGGGGGTGGGGACCCCCTCTGACGGGTCTGGGGGAGTGGGGACTTCCTCTGATAGGACTGGGGGAGTGGGGACACCCTCTGACGGGTCTGGGGGAGTGGGGACTTCCTCTGCAGGACTGGGGGGTAGGGACACCCTCTGATAGGACTGGGGGAGTGGGGACCCCCTCTGATAGGACTGGGGAGGTGGGGACACCCTCTGATAGGACTAGGGGGGTGGGGACACCCTCTGACGGGTCTGGGGGAGTGAGGACTCCCTCTGATAGGACTAGGGGAGTGGGGACACCCTCTGACGGGCCTAGGGGAGTGGGGACTCCCTCTGACGGGTTTGGGGGAGTGGGGACTCCCTCTGATAGGACTGGGGGGGTGGGGACACCCTCTGACAGGACTAGGAGGGTGGGGATGGGGATGCAGGAAAGAGGAGGGACATGGAGCACAGACAGGGAGGAGTCGCCCTCCAGAGCCAGAATGAGCTGGGAGGGGCTCAGTCTTTATATTTTTGGCTGCTAGCAGAAGCTGGGACATCGCACATGTATACCCAGGAAGGCTCATGTCCTGTTTGTCCCTCCCCTGGCTCCCCCTCTGAAGGAATCCCTCTCTTCAATGGGCTGAGCTGGCCAGACGTTGGCACTTCTTTCCAGCAGTGTCCTGACTGATGAGCACAATGTGGGTGGGGGGCGCCCCATGATGCTCCCGGAGGAATTGAGGCCTGGGACAGAGGACGCACCCAGAGTCTTGAGGGGCCAGACTTGCCTCTGTCTCCTCCTCACCAGCCCTTGACCCTGTCGCCAGGCGCCCAGGCATTGAAAATGGGCAGCCCTCGGTGGGAATTGTCCAGCTGCCAGTCTTTCCAAGGTTGACAGGAGTCTTCAGTCAAAGCTGATGCATGTGGCTCGTGGAACGGCCTGCTCTGCATCTTACACAGTTCTGGGCCTGCAGCCCCGGAGTGATAGCCGCAGCGGTGTGGCCTAGCCACCGGCCCCCAGGAAGTCAACCTTCCTGTTCACTTATGGTGGCCATTGACAGACACCAGCACAGATGGGGCCCCTGTGTCCAGGCCTCGCTCCTGGGAGGGGGACGGCCTTAGCAGTTCTCTTCAGAGGCTCCATCTGGCATTTTCTGGCCTCGTGGGACTTCCTTCCTGCCTCTTGTTTTCCAGCTCAGTTTCTGCAGGGGAGAGAAGCTGCTGGTGCTGAGGTGGGTGACAGCCGACTGGTGGTGGGGCGAGCAGGAGGGCCGCCACGGGTACATCCCTGCCAGCTACATGAGGGAGAGCTTGGACGACGCAGAGCCTGAAGACACGTGGCAAGATGAGGAATACTTTGGCAGCTACGGAGCCCTGGTAACGCCTCTCTGTGTGAAAATCTGTCTCTCACCTTCTGTTTCCCGTGTCCTAAAGAAGCTTTCTGCCCCCTCCAGTCTTGGTCACGATAGGTGGCATTTGCAGTCACCTCAGCTGGCCAGCACCAAGACAGGCATCCATTTCCTTTAGAGACTGCACTTGGAAATGCTGTCAGATCAGCCGAGGACAGCCGTGTACCACCAGGTGATCCTGCAGCACAAAGAATTTCTGGAAGATAAAGTGATTTTGGATGTTGGGTGCGGCACTGGCATCCTCAGCCTCTTCTGTGCCCGTTACGCACGGCCCAGAGCAGTGAGTACAGACGCCGCAGGCGGAGCCTTGTCTCAGGAGGAGGGAGCTTGGTCACCACCCCTGCTGCCGGGTGTGAGGCCCTCGCCTAGGCACAAGGGGCACGGGCCATGCTTCCCGACCTCCCAGATGGGGATCCGTTTTCGGGCGTAAACGGGCCATTTGTCTGCCTCTTGGTAGTCTGAGCAGAGCATCGCCTGGGGTGCTAAGTGACTGGCTCTGGAGTCACACAGCTCGTGTGAGGAGGCCTAAGGCGGGCCGGGTGCCCAGGCACTCCCTCCCCTCCTGTGTTTCCTCCATCCAAGAGCCTCATCCAGGGGTGGGGACGGTGCCCACGTGCTAGGTTTCTACACCCCGGGGTCAGAAGATTGAGAATGGGCAGGCCTTCGAAGGCTTCTGCTCTGGCTCCGTGATCTCACAGACCTCTAGCAAGTTTAGAGGGTCTCAGTGGTAGCAAACAGGAACAAGATGGAAAACCAGGGCCAGCTCCTGTTCCGCTGTTCTATCCTTGCAAAAGCCCATGACGGTGTGATAGTTGTGGTGTCACACAGTTACCAGTGGCCCAGTATCCCTAACCATTAGAGAAGATGCGGCCCGGGGGAGTAGCAGGGGCAGCCTGGGCCCCTCCGGCTCTGCTATGGTTCTCACACACCGCTCACGGACAAGGCGGGAGACCCGTTTAGGAGTGTTGGCACTGACATGCCGGGTGCCAGCCAAGCAGTGAGGGTGCCCTCCTCCATGCCCGCAGGTCTATGCTGTGGAGGCCAGCGAGATGGCCCAGCACACCGAGCAGCTGGTGCTACACAGTGGCTTTGCAGACAGAATCACTGTCTTTCAGCAGAAGGTGGAGGACGTGACCCTGCCAGGGAAGGTGGATGTGCTGGTGTCAGAGTGGATGGGAGTGAGTGCGGGGAGCAGCGCAGGCCTTACCCTCCTCTGGGCCCCCGTGAGCGGCACCTTCTTGATCGAGGCCTCACGGGAGCCGGTGGGAGGAGGGCTCAAGCTAGCCCAGGCCTTGACTGGCCAGAGGCAGCGTGGACACGGCTACCACCCGGGAGCCAGGGAAGGGGCCGGGGTAACTGACCACGGAGCAGAAGCGTCAGGTCCACACTCAGTGCTTCACTTGTGTCCTTTTTCCCTCTGTCTGTAGTCTGAGTTCATGACTGAGTCTGTGCTCTACGCAAGGGACAAGTGGCTTTCCCCTGATGGGGTCGTTTGGCCGACCACGGCTGTGATCTGCCTCGCCCCCTGCAGTGCTAAGAAGGACTGTGACCACGATGTCCTCTTCTGGGACAACGCCTGCGTGTTTGACCTCAGCTCTTTAAAGTGAGCGGCCCCCAAACGAGCTCCCCGCAGAGCCAACCAGGACTGCCGCGTGGGCTCCGACAGGCAGGGCTCTCGACAGCCTGGTGGACAATGTGCACGATCAGCTCGCTGTGTTCCAGCGTTCTTCCACGATCAGCTGCCGGGGGCCACCAGGGAGTCTGGCATGAAACCCCAGCCAGGGGATGAAGGCATCGTTGGGGCTGGGCATCTGCTACAACGGCTCGCCCTTGCCAGGGAAAGAAGGGCCACCTGGAATGGCTGTGTGTGGTTTCTTGTAAAAGGAGCTGCTTGGTCCAGGGGAAAGAGGCAGCAGACCTGGGTTCAAATCCCACCCTTGTTACTTACTCCCCTGCGACTTCAGGCAAATCATTGCTCTGCTCTGGGCCACAAGCTCGGGCCTATAAGAGAGTGGCCTCTGAGCCCCTTCCCAGCTCCAGAGTGGGGGGGGGGGGTGTCTTCGTGTGGGGGGAGGGGCGGCTGGTCTCCAGCTCCACCACACCAGCCTCAGAGGTTTGCACAGGGTTGTTAACATCTCTCTCTTCATCCTTACTCTGTGTTCCTTATGTGTCCCTCGGCTTCCTTCCGCACCCCATGTAAGGCCACCTCTCTGTCTCTGTGTCTCTGTCTCCCTCCCTCTCTTCTTTCTCCCCTCCTCTTCTCTGTTCCTCTCTTTCTCTCTCTCTCTGTCTCTGTCTCCCTCTCTCTCACCCTCCCCCCCATCATCATCATCATCATCATCATCACTATTCAGGGGCTCTCTTGTACCCCCTTCTCTGGCGATGAGACTGAACCAGTGACTCCTTCCATCCTGTCCTTTGGATCAGAAGGCTTCCGTCTTTCTCTTGGAGAGGTTGCAGCGATTCTTTCCCCTTGGGTAGGGCCACATTTGGGGGCGTCAGTGCAGCTCACCCTGCATCTGGGGTGTTTAGCCTGACCCTTTGGGCCGCAAGATGTGCTCTGGTCCGTCTGTGCTCCCTTCCTTGTCCCCTTGGGTGTCCAGTAAAAGGTTGTAGTCCTGGGTGGGAGTGTGGCTGTCTCTGGAGCCCGTTGCCGCCCTTGTATGGGAGCAGGCAGGGTGAGACGGCAAAGGAGGGGAGGCCATGAGGGCTCTCTCAGGTTGGTGTCGTCCACAGGCCTGGTTGTTTGATGACTGCTGACAAAGCCTCCCAGCTCTTTGAGCATGATGTTGTCCCCCCACGTCCTGGTGTGAGAGGGACAGAGCAGTGAAGCCCTGACCCTGAAAGGGGGCTTCTTAGCCGCAGGGGAGGGTGGTCAAATGGCCCGTGACTTGGAATTTGTAAAGAGGGGACCAGAAGACATGGGGGAAGTGTCTTCTCTCTGGCTGGCATGTGCCCTGGAGCCCTGGCACCAGCCATGGGTATCTGGGGTACCCTCATTTGGGGCATGCCGTGGGGAGCAGACACTGCTTCCAGACTAAGGTGGGTCCCTTTGCAGGTGAGAAAGGGAGGCGATGCCTGCTGGGGCTGGGGACGGTGGCTGTCACAGGACCTAATTCTGGCTCTTTTCTTCCACCTTGACCAGATCTTTGGCCATCAGGGAATTCTTTGCCAAGCCCAAGTACAATCATATTTTGGAGCCTGAAGAGTGTCTTTCAGACCCACGTCCTGTCTTCCAGTTGGACATGAAAACTGTGCAGATCCCTGACCTTGAGGTGAGAGAGAGGCCCGGCCTTGGCCTCAGCATCCCTGCAGAGCTTCCTCTGACATGGGCAGCCCTTGTCCATCTGAGCAGTCAGCCCCGCCCAGGGCCCCCGTAAGCCCCTTTCCTGCAGACGCAAGGTGGGCCACTCCCCTGCCTGCCTCTTGACTTGCCTCGGGCTGTGGTTGCAGACCCCTCCCTCTCTATTCCCTCACCCCAGAAGATGAAGGGTGAGCTCTGCTTCTGCATCCAGAGGTCCGGGACTCTGCATGGGTTTTCTGCCTGGTTCAGTGTTGAGTTCCAGAATGTGGGAGAAGACAGACCGCGGCTGGTGCTGAGCACAGGCCCCTCAGACCCGTGAGTGTTTGGGGCGGGGACCCCGGGGCCCTGAGCCAGGGGCTTTGGTTTAAGTTAGAAACGTTGATTTTTCAAAAGCTAAGGAAACAGGCCAGAACTGTAACATATTAAAATAATTAGAAGCACACATTAAGTGTCTGCTGTATACTAGGCCCCTGGCAGGAGGAAGCAAGGTTACAAATGGGATTTTAAAAGATCACAGAGAGGGTCCAGGTGTTGCCTTTGACCACTCTGCCTGTGTGACCCCGAGCAAGCCCGTAACTTCTCAGGGCTCGGGCACCTCCCAGACTACCATACGCTACAGGCGAGAGGCCAGTCCCCCGCAGCAGAACAGTCTGACCGGCTCCTTCCTTCCTGCCTCCAAACACACACGTGGGTGGGGACTCCCAGATGAGGGAACCCCGACCACCAGAGCAGGTCAGGCCCAGCTGGCAGCATGGGTCAGGTCTTCCTGCCCTGTCTCTGCTGTTCCTCAGCTGCTTGGAGAAAATGTGTACTTGACTCTGTGTCCCCAGCCAAGCTCTTGAACAGTTCTCATCGTATCCTAGGATTGAGGAAGCAGAAGGGACCTTAGGAGGGAATCTCTTCCAGTCACCCCTTTTACAGATGAAAAAACTGAGACCCACACGGCTTGATTTAGCGCTTCACCCCAGGGTTCAGCCAGTTATTCTGGGAGCAGGCAGGGTCCTCATTCAGTGATGCGTTCGCTCACAGCACAACGCATTGGAAACAGACCTTATTTATGCTGGACGAGCCTTTGGCCATCCGTGCCGGAGATGTGGTCACTGGCTCCATCGTGCTGCAGAGAAACCCGGTATGGAGGAGGCATATGTCCGTCACCCTGAGCTGGACCGTCACCTCCGAAAAAGACCCCACCTCTCCAAAGGTACCAGAGAGGGAGGGCCCTTCAGCGGCAGACATGGCTGTCTGACTCACACGGTTGGCTCCCAGTTTCTCCCTCTGACGTGGGTTCTGGTGACAAAGAAGAGAGGGTTTCCATATCCCCAGAGCCCCGCTGACATGGGTTAGAGAGAACCCCCCCCAGGAGGTTGGGTAGCAGAAAGGCCATGGTGGGTCCATCCAGACACAGCCCAGTCCATCCGTTGGACTTGTGTGGGCCATGCCGTCCAGCAGCTCCAGTAGGTGTGGAGTGTAGGCAGAGGGGTCCTCTCCCCCACACTCTTGTAGAGAGCCTGAATGTGGTCAGTGAGTACTGTTATTTTCACTGTGACTCCTTTCGGGGCATGGCCTAGAGTCAGTGGTTTCAAATGTGAAATAAAGTCAGGCCTGGCCCAAGGTGTCAGCTATCCTTCCAGCCAGCTTACAGAGTGACGCTCAGCAAAGTCCTCCTCTCCCGGTGTAGACTTGAGGTCTCAGAGAAATCGGCCTAATGGACAGTTGGCTTCCTCTGGGCCCGGGTCTAAAGCAGAAGGAGGACCCACCTTCCAGGGCCTCACAGGGATTCTGGGCCAGGCCCAACGGTTTTGTGTGCTCAGTGGAGCAGTGTAGGAAAGCACCCTGCTCCTTGCTAAAGGCTGTGTTGCTGTGAGGAAACATCTCTGAGTGCCCAAGAAATGGAAATCAGGAACGTTGGATTTCATCCCTTTTCCCCACTTTGTTTTAGGTTGGAGAGAAAACCTTCCCCATCTGGAGATGAGGCCTACGGAGGGCCCAGGCCAGCAGGTGGGATGACAACTGGGGGGGGGTGGCTGGGCCCCCTGCCCACCTCCCCAGCAGCCAAACTGAAACTGAAAGGTTGGGAAGTGGCCGAAGCCCCTCAGAACACCCCCATTTTACAGGTAAGGAAACTGAGGCCCACAGGGGCAAACAGACTTGCCCTGGGTCACGCAAGGAGTGGCAACGTGAGGAGGACCCAAAGGCTGCCCGCCACAACACCATCCTGCTCGTGCCTCCGACAGCCCAGGCCTTAGCCTTCCAGAGAGCTCTCTGTCCCTCCTGCATCCTTGCCCCCGAGGGCAGGTGGAAGTCACAACATCGGGCTGTTGTCACACAAAGCTCCAGGTGGAGACGTGGAGGACGTGTCTTACTGAACATCATACTGGGGGCATGGGGGAGGGGAGAAGCCCTGCCTCGTGGCCTCCCTGTCTCCTGGCTGTCCGTGGCCACGAACTGTCCCTTCGTTCTCGGGGCCTCCTTGCTTTGTCTGTGGCTCAGGCCTCGCCCACCTTTCGGAGCCTGGCTTCCTCTGTGCGTATGATCCTTCTGGTGCCCGTGATTGGCCCTCCTGTGTTTCTTGGAGCGCGCCTCATCTCTAACTGCACAGTAACAGGCCGTGACCTTCCGCTCCGTGGGCTCAGTGGCAGCCACTTTGTCTCCAGGTCTCTGCTGACCCGGGGGGCTGCTCGAACATTGTGGGAGGTGCTGGGCCTGTGCTCCCATCTTTGATTCCCTGGGAGCTCCACCCGGGTGTACCATGAGCAGCCCGGCCCAGGGTGTGGACGGCCCTGCTTCCCAATGGATACCCAGGGCATGTGATCCTCCGCCAGTGCTGTGCCAGTCCCTGGCTCCCCGCGGCTCCTCATCTTCGGCTTCTTTGCCAATTTGCTGGATGTGGCCTGAACAATCTGGGGAGGGGTGGGGGGGGGGGAGTTTGCTTGGTTTTTTTCCTGCATCTTACTAGCAGTGATTCCAGCGTTCTTTTCCTTTGTTTCCTTATCTGTTGGGGAAGTATTCGTTTTTCAGTTGTTTTAAGCTGTGAATCTGTGTGATTCCAGAAAAGGGGCTTCTGAGCTGTCAGTGACGTCACACTAGAAAGGAGGGACAAAGATCCCTCCTCCCTTTGGAAGCAAGCACAGGGCACCTAACCGAAGCTGTTCTCTGATTTGGAAGCAATAAAATCAGTTTTTATTTTTGATGGGTTTGCAAAGTGGTTGTCCGTCTATTTAAAACCTCTGCAGCCCGCGTGATGTTTCAGCGGCCAAGAGCTGGTTTTCCGTGGCACTTCAGCCTTGGTCAGCTGTCCACTCAGTGGACGTTGTCTGACTCTCACCACCCCTCCCCCCGGGGGATCACAGGGCTCCAGGGATCGTTCAAGTTCACATTAAACCCCCGAGTTACTGGGGGCTATTATTGGCCAAGGTCAGCAGTGTCACAGGTGGGATTCAAAACTAGGTCTTGCATGCTAACCACCGTGCAGCACTGCTCCTTGTCCCCAAACCCAGCTTGATTTCCTCTGGAAGGGCCTCCAGGGATGCCTCACGGATCTGGTGGCAGTGGGCCAGAGCTCCCAGGCTCAGTGAAGGCTCAGCACTCTGAGTTGTTTGGACAGTGGATGGCAGGACTCCGTGGGGACCAGCGAGTGTGTGAATGTTCATAGGACACACAGCCCCATCAAATTGCTTGTGTAAGTGGGACATACAACCCTTTAACGATCGGACTCCTTGTGGCCTCTCCTCAGCCCCTGGGTGTGGCCTCTGTGCTGCCCGAGAGCCCAGGAGATACCAGCCCCTCCCCCACCCCAGAAAAGGACAGAGAAAACACGCGGTGGAAGGAGCTGCCGTTCCCATTCCCCTCCCCCTCCTTGGCTTCTGGCCTTGAGGCCTGGAGGCTTGAGGTCATCCTTAAGCTGACCGAGCTCACCACTTCTGCAGAGGGCTCCCTTCTGCCCCAAAGTTCATTGGACACACCGCTTCTTGTCCTGCTCAGAGCCAAGGGGGCCCTGCTGCCAAGGATGGGTAGCTGACTGGGCCAGATCTGGGACACTGCTGGGAGCCTTGGGCCATCTACAGGGCCACGGCGCAGGGCTTTGATGGGGACCTCGGGGGCTGTCATCTGCCATCCCCTGCCTTGACAGGCACGGCCCTTGGGTGCCCACGAGCCCCAAGATCCAGGTCGCTGGCCATGTGGGGGGGGTGCCGTGAAGGCTGAGGATGGTTCCCAGGGGGAAGGATGTGGTTCTTGGGTTGGGCCCAGCCAGTGGGGGAAGGCAAGCCAGACACCGAGAATGCAGTAATGGAGGTGTGCATGGGGAGGGCCAGAGACACAGCATGTTAGACATGGACCTGGAAGAGGCCTGGAAGGCCTCTAAGGCTTAAGCAGCCTGCCCAAGGTGCTGCAGACAAGAAGGGACAAAGTCAGGACCAGAAACTGGGTGTGGACCTCAGGCTCTCTGGCTAAACGCTGGGGTGCTCTGGGCAGCAGGTGCCTTACCACCCAGAATGTGCACTGAAGTCAACCAGCCTGCATCCTCAGCACCAAAGAGGCCAGCGTCCTTGGGTGCCAGCCCACCCAGGACCCAGGAGCCTGACCCTGCTGCAGGGCAAGGAACATCCTGTGGGTGAAACAATCATTTTATATCATGACAGGAAGTTAGTGATGCCTCTGTAGAGAAGCAAGCCTGAAACTAGGCCTGGGAAAACCAGGGGTAGGCAGGACACTGAGCCAGGCTGGGCAGGTGGGAGTTGGTGCCCCAGCTCTCATTACCCAGAAACCTCTGTTTTCTGGCTGTCTGCTCCTTAGCCAGGTCCCCTGCTCCTCCTGCCTGGCAGCTGGGGGGCACCACCATGCACAAAGCACTGGGCATGGAGTCAGGAAGATCCAAGTTCAAATCTGGCCTCAGACACTTATGAGCAGTGGCCAAGTCACTTCACCTCTGCCTGCCTCCGTTTTCTCAACTGTAAAATGGGGATCATAACAGCACCTGACTCCCAGGGTTGTGAGGGAAGCTTGCAGAGATACTGATAGTAAAGCGCAGTATAAATGACAGCTATTCTTAACATCATGAGATAGGGGGCTTAGCCTCATTCTGCTTGATACTAGAGAACAGAACAAGGAGCAGTTGGTGGGGGGTGTGGGCAGTATTGTGAAGAGGAAGATCAGGCTTGATTAGTAATTAGAGCTACTCCAAAGTGCATCACAGGCTGCCTCGGGACATGCTGAATTCCCTGTCACCAGAGGGCTTCAGTCACAGGCTCCGTAGAGGACCATTATTGGAAGGCATTCTCATGCAGGTCTGGGTTGGCTCAGCCAGGCAGAGGCCTCCTCAATGCTAAGATTCAGTGATTTTATCTAGGTGGTGGTGATTTGGATCCTGCCTTCACATGCACTGAGGAAGAGCCAGTAGGAGGCAGAAAGCCCCTGAGACCATGGGGCAGTCAATGGGCCCCACCCCAACTGGCACCATCACAGCATTTCTGCCAGCTCCTTCCTCTTCAGGGTGTGGATGGACTTGGCTTCGAAAGCTCTTTATGAACAGGTAAGGGACAGGAAGAGCAAGTGTCTCTCACCACTGGCTGCGCGAGATGGAGAGAAGGGGAGAACAGCACCCAGGAGATGCCCAGGGTGGGATGGCAGGAGATGGATTGTGAGAAGGCTTTGCTTCTCTCCTGCTTTCTCAGGGGACACATTAGCCACCCACCCACCGATGCCATGTTCCAACCTTGGTCTGTTCTGTACCTATACCTTTAGCAGTGGGCTCCAGGTGGGTAGTATGGGCCCACTCCTGCCCAAGAGTCTGAAACTGTTGCTGTGTTTCTCTGTCTCTGGGTCCTCCTCCAGCTCACACTCTCTGACCATCTGTGTCCCCCAGGACTGTATCCTAGGCCCTCTGCTCTTCTCCCTGTATCCTGCTTCACCTGGGGATTTCATCAGCTCCCATGGACTTAATGACCCTCTCTATGCTGATGATTCTCAAATATACCTTTCCTGCCCCAGTCTCTCTGCAGCCTCCAGTCTTGCCTCTCCAACTGCCTTTCAGACATCTTGAATGGGAGGTCCAGTAGATACCTTAAATTCGATATGTCCAAAACAGAACTCACTGTCTTTCCTCCCAAACTCTCTCTCCTCTTCTCTTTCCTCTTATTGTAGAGGACATCCCCAACCTCCCAATCTCTGGCTCCCAACCTAGGAGTCATCCTCACTCTCTCTCACCCTGGGCTATATCCAATATGGCGCCAAGGCCTGTCTACTTCCCCTTTGCAACATCTCTGGTCAATTTCATTTCTAAGCATCTCTGGTCAATTTCACCTCCTCAATATTTTTTGTTGATTTCGCTTCTGTAGCATCTCTTATCAATTTCACCTCTGCAACATCTCTTGTCAACTTCATTTCTTGAGCATCTCTTGTCAATTTCACCTCTGCAGTATCTCTGGCAGATTTCACCTCTGCCGCCATCTCCCCTTTACGCTCCCTTCTCTCCTCTGACACTGCCCCACCCTGGTACAGGTCTTGGTCACCTCATGCCAGGACTATGGCAATCTGCCTTCCTCGAGTCTCTCCCCACTATATTCAGCTATTAAACTGATTTTCCTAAAGCACAGTCTGACCACGTTGCCCCCTTACTCAATAAACTCCAGTAGCTCCCTATGGCCTCTGGGAACAAATTCAAAACACTTTGTCCTTCAAAGCCCTTTACCATCTCTCCCCTCCTCCCTTTCCTGTCTCCTTACACATCACTCCCCAACACCTACCCTTGGATCCTGTGCCCCCAGCCTCTCGGCTGCTCCATGAACAAGACCCTCCATCTCTTGGCTCTGGGCATTCTCTCTGGCCATCCCCAGGCCTGGAACAGTCTGCTGCCTCCACTCGAACTACTGAACCCTCTGCCTTCCTTTAAGTATCAACTAAAATCTCGCCTCCTACAGAAAGCCTTCCCCAACCTCTCGTAATTCCAGGGCCTTCCCTCTGTTAATTATTTCCTCTTTCTCTTGTATAGAGCTGTCTTTTGTATAGTACTTGCTGGCCTGTTGCCACCCCATTAGATTGTGAGCTCCTTGAGGGCAGGGGACTGTCTGTTGCCCCAGATCTTAGCACAGTGCCAGGTACATGGTAGTGCTTAATAAATGTTTACTCTCTGACTGAAGTGGGAGCTGTGGAGGGAACACTAGCAGGAGGGGCAGGGGAGAGATGTGATCTCCCATAACCACGCCTTTGCACTGGCCATCGTCCCTGCCTGGAATGCACTGCCTCTCTTCCTCTGTCTCAGAGTTCCTCAGACTCTGGCTTTTGCCTGAAGCCTTGCCTGATGCCCCTCCCCCACTCCTAGGGTCCTCCCTCCCCCCAGCTCCATTGTACTGCATGACTTGTGTTCATTAACCTTACATTTATGCTGTATATTTTATTTTTCATATGTATGTGTTGCCTGCCCTGTTACGACGTTGACTCCTTGGAAGCAGGGCTCATTTCACTGTCTGTGTCCTCATCACTGGTGCAGTACCTGGTACAAAGCAGACACCCAAGTACTGACCAGTTGGTTGGGTGCCCTCCTGTCCTTCAGTGCCCCCTCCACAGATGACCCAGACTGCAGACTCACGACCATTTCTCAGATGGGCTTTGAGAGTTGCCAAGGCTGAAGATTCCATGCCTCCCTGGTTAGTCTGGCCAAGGACCCCAGCCAGCAGCCACACTGCCCATCACTGAGCTTGTGATGGGCAGTAGGGCCTTTCCAGACCGGATTTTGGCCAAGACTGGGTACCATCAATCCACTAACAGCCTGAGAGAGACCCCAACTTCGGGGCACCAGTAGTGATCTCCAAGGGGTTGCAAAGACCACCGGTGAAGGAGTCGGGCCTTGGGCCCTGCCCAGAGAAAACCCTTCTAAGATCTCATAAGCCTGGAGCAGGCATCGCCATCCAGGAATCCAGCCATTCCTCACTCTGACTTCTGCTCCCAAGTGGGATGCTTAGCTGCCCGTCCTGGAGCGCCCAGAAGAGCTTTCACACGACTGTGGGAGATCCCCTTAGGGCAGAGGTGAGGAAGGTAGAGGGTAGAGGCTGTGACTCGCCTGGTCGCCCAGGTCATCGACAACAGAGCCAGGGAGGCCTCAAACCCAGCTCCTCCTGAAGAGGTCTAGGGGTTCTGGGGCGCTGGGACCCCAAGATCGGGTACCGGACCCTGCTGAATGAATTCAACTCAAAT